TGCCAAAGAAAGAAATCACTGTGAAAGCTTATTGATAATCCAGTATCCACAGAACTAGGATTTGGAAGTGCACAACACTTGTCACTTGTAGAGTAGCACAGCAAACCTGACCACAGGGCATTTTGCAGTTTCAACAAGATAGGCAAAATTCTAGAAAATCTGTTTAAACTTTCGAGGAGAAGAGAAGGCTGAGTTAATAAAAAGGAGACTGTCAACTGGACTAGTGGGGAACATTACTTGCCTACTATACCTAAAATGACTACATATGTGGAAAATGAGGGCTTATGTCACACCTAAACATAGTACTTTTAGTGTCAAAGCCTGAGGCATTGGGTCAGCTAAATTCATTATGGGATGTTCCATTTCATAGGTGCTTCCATAACATTTACATTTTTTGACTGGAAGTCTCAGGGGAAACCAAACCTGATTCCACTTGTCTTTTTTGAGCTCATAAACAGTAAGAAGATTAAAGCCTAAGGCAGTGACGGCGAACCTATGACATGTGTCAGAGGTGACACTCGAACTCATTTTGGTGGATTTTCCTTTGTTTAAATGGCATTTAAAATAATATAAAAATAAATATCAAAAATATAAGTCTTTGTTTTACTATGGTTGCAAATATCAAAAAATTTCTATATGTGACATGGCACCGGAGTTAAGTTAGGGTTTTTCAAAATGCTGACACGCTGAGCTCAAAAGGTTCGCCATCACTGGCCTAAGGAGATAGGTTTGCAATTTAACTTCAACCCCTTCCTCCCCTGACAAATTTAGTGGCTATTTATCATTTAAATGGATTAAAAGAGGTGAGGAATTTGGGAGGAAGAGAGACTAAAATAAGATTCTATTTAGAAAAATACTTGCCTAGGGGAAAAGAATATGAAATATGCATAAGTTAATAAGTTAAAAGAAGAACGAGAATGAAAAACTAACCTAGTTGTATGCTTATTATCTAATTTTACAATAAAATGAACACTGAATCAGCTATGACAGGAATTCGGGATGGGGGCGGGGAATCGAGGAGACAATGACCAAGGCAGTGGGACAGAGAAGACACCTGCATTTGGTAATCAGGTTTATGGAACTCAGTGAGACATTCTGGAGAAAAACAAATAATAATGAAGGCATCAGAACAACGGACTTAATTAGGAAAAATGACAGCAAGTCAACCCACAAAGCGTGGCCCAGCAATGACTAAGGGGAAATATATTAATAGTCAGTATCTTTCATGAAGCTGTAAACACCAGGCTGGACAGAAATGACAGGGGGAGGTGAGAGTTGAGAAGAGGTTGAGGCACTTAGCTATAGGTCAATGAGAAGTAGTTTCAGGGGAGAGAAACTGAAATGGAAAACGAGACCAGCACTTGGAGGGTAGAACCCCCCTCCCCTAGAGAAGGAGTGGAAGTGCAGTCCCTTGGGAGGGCTGAAAGCGGTCCCATGTTGTCTCACAGGAACAAAGGACTTCTCACATTGCAACCAAGGGACAAAAGCTCCTCACTCTCTCTCTACACGTAAGCATTTACACGTGTGACACAGAAACAAAACAAACAGTGCAGATTGTAACAACCCCTCACTAAAGAGTCAAAGGCAAAGAGACCCCTACTTCAGGAAGAACACAGACAGTGAGGGGCAGCTGCCATTAGTCACAAGCTAAAATCATGTTTTTACTCACAGAGTGGGCCGGAGTCCCACTGTTTATAAGCACGGTTATATATGCATTCTCGTCATCAGAGATTGAGTTTTTTCTCGCATTTTAGGCTGACTATGCTCTTCTTGTCCGTAAATGTCTCTGGGGATCTTCCAAAGCTAAATAAACTCAGGACAAAGGAAAAACACCAACCAGGCAAGCAGTTAAGCCTATTGTTTCTCTAATAATACACAGAGAGTATAACCTGACTTCACACAAACCATAACCTAGGAATTCATTTCAATCTGTGGTCTCATTTTTCTGAGTATTCCAGAAGGTTTTAATTTACAAGTGAATCCCCAAGCCCTCCCTTCAAAATTAATGTAAATTATTTTGGAATTGAGAACTCAGAATATTCAGAGCCCCTCTTTAGCCCCCAGGATGAAAAGGGAATTCCTATTTCTACTCCCTAGCTATGGATTAAGGGCCTATTTTGGTTCTCAGTGGCTGGCAGGAGCTCTTACCCCACAAGGCAAACTATGTGAACACTGGAAGCATGATGCAGATCTCTCCCCCTCAAACCTGCTTATTTTTTTGACCATTCAATTGGACAACTAGGGGAACTATTCCTTAAGAAACCATAGACCAATCCTAAAATAGGCAGGCTGCAAAGGAAAATATATTTTGATCAAATGAACTTATCCAGCCTCATGGCCTTAAATGATCATCTCTGACCCGATGATTCCAAAACACATCTTCAGCCCCAATCTTTCTCCTGAACTCCAGAGACCCCATTGCCTGCGTGACATTGCTATTTAGTGTTTGCTAAAAATCTTGAACTTAATCCCCCCAAAACCAAACATTTGAGTCCCCCCAATCAAATCTGCTCCCCAAATATTCCCCTTAATTAGTAATTCATTCCAGCTGCTGAGATCAAACACATTGGAGCTCTTCATCACACCTCCTGCATGTCCCACATCCAATCTGGCAGCAAACTCTATTGGCTGTGCCTTCAAAATACATGCAGACTCCAATTATTTCTCACCACTTTCACTGCTTCAACCCTTGTCCATCACCATCATCTGTGTCTAACTTTTAACTGAACTTAATTCTACCTTGCTCCCTATAGTTCTCCCCACCCCTACCCTATACCCAAGCCAGAGGAACACATTTAAAACCTAAGCCAATTCACGTTAGATGTCCGTTCTAATTCTTCCAGTGACTTCCCATCTCAAAATCCTTACCATGGCCTATTAAGACCTACATGACCTGCTTCTGCAACATTCATCTCACACCACTCCCTCATTCATTATGTTCCACTTAAATAGGGCTGTTTGCTGTTGCCTGATTATGCCAAGCATGTTCTCACCTCAGGGCTTTGCATTTATTTCCTCTGCCTGGAATGCTCTTCTTTCTGACAGATATATGCTTGGCTTGCTTCCTTACTTTCTTCAGAACTTGGCTCAAATGTCATCTTAGTCATCTTAGCAGAGAAGCATGACTAGGCCATATAACACAACAACCCCTGATCAAAAATGAGCTTTTAAAATTTACCAGGTGGACGAAGAGTGATCTATGTTGAGGGAACAGTTTATGCAACAGTGTGATACAGGATGGTGTGTTCAGGAAAACTACAAGTAAATCATTTCTATGAGGTAAATTTTAGAAGGGGAAGTAATCTGTTTATTAGGCTGGAAAGGGAGATAAAGGCCACAAAATGAAGGGCCTGTATGCCATGTAAAGGAGCTTATCTTGTAGATGATGGAGAATTCCTGAAGAGTTTTAAGCAAGGGAGTGGCATGGTTGTAAAGAAGGGTATAAACAGAGTAGGTATGAGGCTGGGGGCTGAGATTGGAGTCCAAAAGATCAGCTAGGAGAAAGGGATGAATCTTTTATTCACATTGTCAGTATGACTTCAAGTTGGGACAGTATAAAATGCTTACAGAGAAGCAAGGGGCAAAGAGAAAGCCAAATTTCTGCTATCCGATATGCTACCAAGTGAGCCACCATATCAGAAAACCCGTAAGAACAGCACCTACCACCAATGATAGCCTTCCCTTAAGATGACTGTGGCTAATGATGTGCACGTAAGACAGAATATACCTAGCTAGCTATGCCCCCGTGGTCCTCAGGCCCTGGAGCCCTGTCCCAACCTGGTTAACTGGTTGAAGAGGTTTAGTTGCCAAGGAAGGTATAGCTGATCCTATGGTTGATATTTAGAATCTGATTTTCATTCTTTTTTTTGTTGTTAAATCGTCATCTTAGGATATTTTTTTTCGATTGATTTTTTACAGAGAGAGGAAGGAAGGAAGGGGAAGAAAGGGACGGGGGGGGGGGGGGGGGGGGGGAGAAAACATTGATTGCACATGCTCTGACCAGAGTCAGGGATCAAACCTGCAACCCAGGTATATGCCCTTGACCGGGAATCAAACCCACTACCCTTCGTGCATGGGCTGACGCTCTAACCACCTAGACACACCAGCCAGGGTGAAAGTAGGCAGTTCTATGTAGTAGTGAGTAAGGAAAAAGGGGGGACACAGCCTAGGAGTGGAGACTAGGACGTGTGGAATTTAGTTCCAGCTCTGCTGCTGTGCATCTATTCAAGCCTCTCCACCCTTGTATTTCATTTATCCATGACCCTCCAGTATGCATCCTTCTATTTGTGGGAACTGTGATGCTCAGTATTTCATAGAGGCTCCACAACCGCCACATGAGATGGCATTTTTAGAGGCATGCCTTCTACAAAACAATTTCCCATTTATGCATTTTTATGTCTCAAGATTACGGAAATTATTAAATATATTTGAATCCTGGGAATATTTCTGAGATTTAAAAGGAATGTTCTTTTCTTCTCCCTTTCAGATGCTGAAGTATCCCCACAAGAAGATTGGGTATGAAAGGATAGTTCATTTGATGAAATGTCTTTTATTTTATTTTTTTAATTCCAATTTCATTGCTCTCCAACTACCTTTTGAAGTTTGGGATACAAAAATATGATGTTTTCCTATGATGAAATAATGCATAAGAGTGATAAAACAATGCTTCCTGATTTGTTTAGTTAGAGCTCCTGATTGACTTGGCTGATTTTTTTCCAGTGTTTATTCACTGACACATTCCAAGTGTTTAGAATAGTATGAGACACATAGTAGGCATTCATCAAGTATTTGTTGAATGAATGCATAAAAAATTTATTCCAACAGAATGGATAGAAAAGTCCAAAGGAAAGCTAATATGTTCCAGTTCCAGGCAAAGCACAACTACTGTCACCAATGGCAAAGAAAAAAGTTTGTGACACAAAGCAAAGGGTGATACCAACTGAACAACGTATTTATAGTAGAAAACCTGCATATTCAATGTATTGGCTCTCATGACTTACTGTATCTGCAGCAGTGAGATTGATACCCAGTCCTCCAGCTCGGGTGCTTAGCAGGAACACAAAGATGTCATTCCTGCAGAAGAGGGAGGGATATGTTAAGAGGAAAAAATTGAAAAATAAAAAGGGCATGTGGCATAAGAGAGGAATCCCTGAATGCAGATCTAAGGCTAGAAAGAGTTTTGGTGGTTACACAGGCCTGATCTAACATTTCTTTGACACACTGTACAAAGGTGCTCTGTTGCTAAGATCAAACCATGGTTATCACCTTCCAATTTGCAGATATACTTTTGCCGCCCACTAATACTGACTGAAAGGCAAGAAAGTTATAAACATGTAGCACATATGACAGAAAAGTATGTTATCATGGAAGTAGAGGCCTTTGTCTATATGTAACAGTCATATTTTTAACAAGTCAAACCATTCATAGTCCATATAGAGGATATAAATAAATCAGTATTTCCTGGTGTTTTCCCCAGGAATCATAACTTCCAGTAATTTAACTACTAATTATAATTCCAAAGCACTCATTTTCAAATGAAGAAAGCCAGTCTCAGAAAAATGACTCAAGCTCTTGAGACTAAGACCTAGGTCATGACTTCTATGTATGTATTAAGTTGAACTTAGGATTAACCCATGAAGACAGACTGGAATTAAAGTACTTTTTTATGAATGCCAACATAGCTCTTACAAAGAAACAATCAGATATAGTTTTCTGTTTCCCTTTATATTATATATCCCTTTAAAGAAACCTAGAATTACAAATAAAACAGTAGATGCCACTGTTATTCAATCAGGCAACAAAGTATTTATTGAGTATCTTTTAGGAACAAGGCCATGCCAGATTACAGAAAGCAGGCCCTGACTGTAAGATTTATCTATATACACATACAATTAGACGCAGGGGTCCTCAAACTACGGCCCGCGGGCCACATGCAAATACAAATATTGTATTTGTTCCCGTTTTGTTTTTTTACTTCAAAATAAGATATGTGCAGTGTGCATAGGAATTTGTTCATAGTTTTTTTTTAAACTATAGTTCGGCCCTCCAACGGTCTGAGGGACAGTGAACTGGCCCCCTGTTTAAAAAGTTTGAGGACCCCTGAATTAGAGGCTCAGTTTGAGTCCAGTTCTTGCAAATAACATAAACATTTAAGATTATCTCGCATTTTCACATTCCTGCCACCCAATGTTATTTTCTAGAATATTTCTAGAATATTTCTAAAGGTTTGCATTATACTGATGAGCAAACTTTACTGCCCTCTAAATCAGCGTCGTCAACCGGTGGTCCTCAGACCACTGGTGGTCCGTGAGGTCCAAAAGGTTGGCGACCGCTGCTCTAAATCAAGCGGCATATCTTTTTTTCATGACTATAATGAGAAATACAACTGGAAATTCATTTAGATTGGTGTTATTCAAATTGTAGGTCACACCTATCATTAGTCATGAAAGAATGTTCACAGCAGCACAATTTACAATAGCTAAGATTGGAAATAGCCTAAGTGCCCATCAGCAGATGAGTGGATTAGAAAACTGTGGTACATCCACACAATGGAATACTATGCTGTTGTAAAAAAGAAAGCACTCTTATCATTTGCAACAGCACAGATAGACCTGGAGAGCATTATGCTAAGTGAAGTAAGCCAGCCGGATAAAGATAAATATCACATGATCTCACTCATTTGTAGAATATAATGAACAACATAAACTGATGAACAACAACAAAAAAGATACAGAGACATAGAACCATTGAACAGACCGTCAAACCTCAGAGGGAAGGCAGGGAAGGTGTGGGGGTAAGAGATCAACCAAAGGACTTGTATGTATGCATATAAGCCTAACCAATGAATATAGACAGTAGGGGGATGAGAGCATGTGCTGGGGGGGTGGGGGTGGGAGCGAGCAGGGAGAGATCAATGGGGGAAAAAGGAGACATATGTAATACTTTAAACAATAAAGAATTTAAATTAATAAAATAAAATGACATAGTATAGTGCTATGTACTCATGTGAAAAGATATCTACAATGTATTATACAATCAAAATGCAAGTGGAATTATAGTATGAAGTTTTGTAAATAAAATTTTAAACTATAAAAAAAAACAAAAGAAATAGAACAGATTAGAAAACATTATAGTCATGGCTGGTGTGGTTCAGTGGTTAGAGCGATAGCCCAAGCACCGAAGGGTCGCAGTCAAGGGTAAATACCTGGGTTGCAGGTTTGATCCTGGCCTCCAGTCGGGGGGCACATATGGAAAAGCAACCAATCAATGTGTCTCTCTCACATTGATGTTTCTCTCTCTCTCCCCCTCCCAACCTCCCTTCCACTCTCTCTGAAAATCAATGGGAAAAATATCCTCAGAGAAGATTAACAACAAAAAATTATAACACATCATTACAGGTCACAAGGAAAAGTACTGTCTTGTAAGATCTCAGAGATGGTATATAGGTACTAAATCCCAATGTAAAATGAATTTTATTCTGTAGATTCAAGTAAAAAAAAAAAAGGAAACATGTTGACATCAGGATGCTTTCATCCCTAGATGCTGTTCTTCCCTGATAAAGTCACTTGACTGCTGAAGGTCTACTTCCTAGATATAAAATAGAGATGCTCTGAATACAGTTGAAGCAATTAACTGATGACATAGCAAGCGCAAACATGAATATCAAAGAGGGAGCTATTTTGAAATAAGCATCCTGGTTAATTTGTAAAGATAGGTCCTAGTAGAAATCTGTCCATTATCTGCATTTAGTTAAACACAACTTTCCTAGAGGCACGCATGGATAACAAACAGAGCATGTTTGGAGGCCTCTTGTAGGGCATGATTCCAAAAGCACTATACTCTTACAAAAAAGTTCTACTAGTTTATCCTTGAATTTTATCATGAAATTTAACATTTCATAATTTTATTTATATAATTTATTAGATGTCTCTTTTATGGTTAAATCATACAGGGCAAACCAATAAGTTAAAAGGCATTTGCCAGTTTATAAACACATTTTCCCATAGATATCGGATGATGTAAATCAGGGGTCCTCAAACTTTTTAAACATGGGGCCAGTTCACTGTCCCTCAGACGGTTGAAGGGCCGGACTACAGTCTAAAAAAAAACTATGAACAAATTTCTATGCACACTGCACATATCTTAATTTGAAGTAAAAAAACAAAACGGTAACAAATACAATATTTGTATTTGCATGTGGCCTGCGGGCCGTAGTTTGAGGACCCCTGAAAATGGAAGTTTGATACCTCACAGCCCATAGGAGAATACTTAACCACAATAAATCTTCAAATAAAAACTGAGCTTTCTAGGCTGTACTAACCTCTATAGGACAATCCTTCCCACTCTGGCCCTGAGAAGATTTCTCTTCCCCATACATCTCTCTCTCCTGCTTTGGTGGGTACAGAGGTGGGGTTAGGGATCAGAGGCTTCTCTCCGATACTGTGTGAGAGCTGATGGGAGTCACCCAATGGCTAGAACTTTTTTGGTAAATCGGAAAGAAGTCCACAGTCTGAGCTTGGGTGGGGACTGGGGGACAGGGGTCAGACAGGGTGGGAGGGAGAATGCAGTTGGTAACCACAATAAAAGAAGGAGTAGAAGCAGAAAAATGAGTCTGGACAGTCAGAGAGATAAGATCCAAGATCTGGTAATCACTTATACACAGGGACTATACATAGAAAAAAAAAACACCAGGGAAAGAAATCTAGGTAAAAATAAATTAGCAAAACTTAAGGCAACATGATGGTTTGGGTGCCCTCTAGAGGGCTGAAAATGGGTATCAACTAAGGGTCCGTGATGGAATAAGGCCTTAGATTAGAGACCATGCTTCTAGCTGGTTTATGAAATCATGTAGTAAAGACATGCCTAACTATACTCTTACTCTTCTTTAGTTAATGACCCACTGAGGCCACTTTGCTTTAAAATACCCAAATAGTGCTGGGCATGTAAATAAAGACTTGCTGAGCCAGAATGAAAGACAACACTGGAGCTCTACAACACTCTCACCAAGAAAAGAAAAGTCCACACCACACTCACTTTTCTCATGTTTTCCAAAGGCCCACCCTGAGTGATCAGAATTGGGGGGATCCATTTGGTAAATGTCATGGGGTAGGAAGAAGTGAAGCCACAGCCAAGGCACACCAGAGCAAAGACCTTGTGAATGGCTTCTAGGATCACGCACTGGTCACATGTTCTGAATGTTGCCCAGTCAGGACATCCTGGGCAAACAGTCTTTAGTCTCAGTCAGACTCTTTCCTGGAAGGATCTCTCATAAATAAATCTTGTATGAAGGGAATGTAAATGGCTTTTTATAGGAGTTCTTGTTTACTCTGGCTGACCTTTGAGCCACAGGGCTTTCCAGTTGAAACTACAATTTTTTTCTTTTGATGTCTTTTCATGAATAATAATGAAAATATTTGGCAAGGCATGCTTTTTTGTTTTCAAAAACACCTGTCTATTTCTCTGTATTGGTCTACTGTAGCCACTCAAAATTTGTAAGTTGAGAACTACCCTCCACCCCAATTTGGAGGAATCTGCCTGATAAGTTTCTGGTCAGCACAGGCACAGTTTGTTCCTATACGTGAGACACGGGATTATTTCTTAGTCATATCCCAACTGTAATCTAGCTCATAATGTAGGCAGGGAAAGAGATTTTAGTCTGTTTTTTTCAGTTTGTCTAATACTAAAAAAAAGCTCACTGCTAAAAAACAAACAAACAAACAAAAGAAAAAAACACACCTCACTATTCTCTAAGTAATTCTTAGAGAATTACTTAGAGAATAGTGTTTGGAAGCTATTATGAAAGCTGCAGTGTTTGGAAGCTCAAGTAAGGTTTTCCAGAAAAGCTGTGCAAAATAAGATATTTACTAAGTAAAGAATAGTATAATTTAATAGTGAAAATACCCTTCTTTTAGAGCTAAGCTTTTCAAAACTATTGTGTGCTAGTGGGATTGCCCAAATAATTGCTTCACAGGTTAAATAAAAGATTTTAGGACCATTAATTAGATATATCTACTTATTTTTTTTCCACTAAAAAGGTCACTAAAATATACTGATCTCTAAATTCATAGTCCAGTTTTCTGGGAATGGGGTCAGCTAGAAGAACAGCTGTAGCTCTACAACCCAGAAATCCAAATCATGACAAGCCAACATACTACAGGTCTGGTTGGAATCTAAACCAGTAGAAATTTCTATAAAGCAATCTGACAAAATGCACAGTTTTAAATGTTCACATCCCTTCATTCACTGATTTACCTTGTTTGAATCTACATTAATAACCTAAAATGGTGACAAAGCTTTAAAAACAAAGATATTCACTCACCATTAAAAAAAAGAATAGTTTATTGATTTTTAGAGAGAGAGGAAGGGAGAGGGAGAGAGAAAAGCATCGGCTGCCTCCTGCACGCCTCCCATCAGGAATCAAGGCCACAACCGGGGCATGTGCCCTTGACCAGGACTCAAACCAGCAACCTCCTGGTGCACAGGACCCACACCAGCCTGGGCTCATTCACCAATTTTAACAATTATAGTATACCCAGTATAATGGAACACTGACCATTAAAAATAATGATTACAAAGACTTTTTTAATGATATGGGAAAATGTTTATGATATAATGATAAGTGGAAGAAATCTGGACACACAATCATATCTATAACACTAGAGGCCCAGTGCACGAATTCATGCACGGGTGGGGTCCCTCGGCCTGGCTGGCAATTGGGGCAATCGGGGTGATCGGGGCCAGCCAGCCTGGAGGAGGGACCTCGGGAGTTGGCTGTGAGAGCGCACTGATCACCAGGTGGGGAGAGGGGGGCAGCTTCTGCGTCATAGCAACCGGTAGAATGGTCATAACGGTCACTTAGGCTTTTATATATATAGATGGTATCAACCTGTAAGTATAACCACAAACACATTAAAGACTAGAGGGAGCCCGAGCTGGTTTGGCTCAGTGGATAGAGTGTCAGTCTGAGGACTGAAGGGTCCAGGTTCAATTCTGGTCAAGGGCACATGCCCGGGTTGCAGGCTCGATCCCCAGTGGGGGGGCGTGTAGGAGGCAGCGGATCAATGATTCTCTCTCATCATTGATATTTCTATCTCTCTCTCCCTCTGCCTTCCTCTATGAAATAATAAAAATATATTTTAAAAAATAATAAATAAAAGACTAGAGGGATGTTCCAAAATGTTAATAGTAATGGGATTGTGGGTGCTTTTTATTTTCTTCATTAACTATTTCTCAAATTTTCCTCAATAGGCATCTATATATATAAAAGGCTAAGTGTCTATCCATCTGACCGGTAGCTATGATGTGCACTGACCACCAGGGGGCAGATGCTCAATGCAGGAGCTGCCATGACGCACACTGGCCATTTAAAAAGAAACGGCACCACGAACCTGGTGCTGACAAACCAACATTCAGCTTCCCCCAAGTGGGACACAGGCCCAGCCACCACCCCACAGTGACACCCCACCAAATTGCAGCCAACATTGCCAAGACCTCATGGAGCAAAATTCGGCCCACAGCCCAGCCCAGAAATGGTCGCTGTGGGCGCCAGGTAATGACTTCACGTAGCAACACCTGGCTTCCCCTTCCTGGCGATTAGCCTCCTTGGAGTTTCTTCAGCCAGGAGCCCGACTTGCTTTATAGCCAGGTGCAAACATTTTACAGTTTAACCAAATGTTTGTGAAGCGTTTTCAAGTGCCTCCTCTCATTTGATCCTCACAGAGGTCCTGGAGTAGGTACATAGGAGACTCGGTAGAATCCTATTTTCTCTTCATTAGCAAGACAATGGAGATTTAGAAAGTTTAGAAACTTGACCTGACTGAAAAGAAGTAAGAAATGGTGGGCCTTGAAAATGACTTCAGGTTTTCTCACTGCACAGAATATAGTCAAACACTGCTACAGTCAAATATTTTACCCTTTGTTCTCCCTGCGTGATCTACAATAATAATCTGCTTCATGTTGATATTTACTGCTGTGTTGCTGACAATTACCTGAAAGAGAAGTTGGGGTGCTTCACTGGGCTGGAAAAAGTTTAGCTAAATCAGAAAGCAGGTCTAATTAAGCAAGTTTTATATATATATCTCTAAGTTGATTGCACATATGCGACACATATAAAGCTCTTGCTGGCACCAATTGTATACGTGTTTCCATCTATCATTGTCGATTGTGAATTTGGTTGACATTTCTACTATAGAGAAAGGGCGAATAGCAATATTAAAATAGTTCATCTAATTAACTTCCTTTCAATGTGCACGAATCGATGCACTGGGACACTAGTTTTATTGTAAGATATAACAATGCCAATTATAACTGGAAAATAATAGTATTGCTGTTCATGAGATCCTCAAATGTATAACATCAAACATATTAGTGAAAAATAAACACAAATTGTAGGTGAAATACTTATTACTTAATGGAGTTTCTTCTAACACACAACTCATGCCACCTCGTAACAGTGTGCCCATACCACAGAGGTGCTGGCATGCCTGGAGAAATTAAAGGCACCCTGGGGAAAATATATAATCTATAGATCTTGTATGTAAGATTCTTGTCTATTGGAGCTCTTAGGTTGGAGTAAGTAAGGACAAAGTAAAATATGCTTCATTTTATTTCAGAATCATGAAAAGATGAAGATCAGCTGGTAAACTTTTTGGGGGGGGGGGCAATTCATAACAATGTGGTGAGACTAGGAGGCACTACTATGCTTATACATGTCTCAAATAATCAATTTAAAAATCTGCTGATAGATTCTGATAGGTGAGAAACTAGGTTAGGCCATGTACATACTTGCACCCATCTAACAAATTGAAATAGGTACAAAGTAGATCTTCCCTTCCATCGTTGGTCAAACAGCCTCCTAAATTCAGATGTATAGTTGTAATTTAGAAGTTACTGGCCTGAATATATACTGTAAACCAAAATGTCAGGATCTATCTCCTTACCTATGCTCTATTGTAAAGGATCGTGCAATAGCAAAAACTTTCAATCAGAAGACATTCTATGTTGAACTATGGATTTGTTTTATGCGAAATTATTTTACAATTGAAGTAAACGATGCATTAAAAAGGAAAGAAATTAAAACAATTGTAACCTAAATACAAATGGCTATGTGCTTAATTTTCTTCCCAAGAACTCAAAAGTAAAATAGTAACAGACTACACAATTAAAGGCCAGAAATTCAGAATGTTCTGATTTATAGAATAATAAGATCTACTCTTATTCTTTAGCTCTGCAGGTTTAAGGAAGAAAATTAAGGGTGGAGTTCAGCAGACCTGTCACTACCAGAGCTTGGCTTTCTCCTTGGAGAGAGCAGTAACCAGACTCTGCTTATTACAATGAGAACCAGCACTTAGGATAATTATGGCTTTGTAAGCCATCAGTATCCAGCAGGCAGCATTTGAAATTTCATAGGCTCATTATCAGGTAGGAGAAGTACTGTAACTGAGAGCTGCCAGCTGAATAGATTACAGACTACTGCAAGTTGTCATACCGCACTGTACTACAATGCTAGAGGGAAAGCAGGAAAAAGGAAGGTTTTCTTTTTTAACTCATACAAAGTGAAACAGGTAAGCAATAATGAACTAAGACTATAAGTTAACACCCAGAGATAGCCACTGTTAACATTTAGCAACTTTTTTTTACATACATATTATCCACATAAGGAAGGTCTTGGTTCATACTCAGAAATCATTTATTTTATTGGCTAAAGAAATAGGCACTGATTTGGTAAGAAAGCAGATTTCAAACACAAAAATTACCAAGTATTCGTTTTCTCTCTCTCACAGACACACAGATCTGAACTGCTATAAGCAGCTTGAGCTACCTCTTAAAATGGCAGGAACTATCATGATCACTTAATAATATGAAATGTATTGGTATTTTTTTAAACCTCATCATCTGAAGCTCTAGAGGAAAACCAAATGAGGATTTTATAATTCCTATTAAAATTACCTGTTCTGAAAATCAGCAACCATGTCCCGCCTTTCCGAGATCTTGGATGAGCCATCAAGCCTCATATAGGTATGCTTCCTGTAAACCATATATTCCTGCCAATCAAAAGTAAATAGATACAATCAGTCTGATGAAAATTACTGTATTCCAATTCCCACAAGCATCTACTTACTTTCTACCTCATCCATACTGTGAGCAAGTCACTATATCCAGAATGAGGAGAAACCAATCTCAAAAGTATGGGAATTTAATTTGTAAATGAGTTTATTGCCATCATGTAAAAATCTAGGGTAACCTGAAGACTACAACCACTCTCAGTATCAACTTGGAAACTAATCTTATTTCTCTAGGTTTTTGTAGGTTTCAGGAAAAACAAAAAAATAAACAAAATGAAATCTCCAAACCAAAATGGCGGGGAGCGGGCCTAAGCTGCAGTCGGGCAGCGAGGACATCCTTAGCATTGTCGAGGAAGAGGCTCCCGCCACCAACGCTGGCGGTCAGCCCAGCTGAGCGGTGCTCCTCCTGTGAGAGCACACTGACCACCAGGGGGCAGCTCCTGTGTTGAGCATCTAAACCAGTGGTTCTCAACCTGTGGGTTGCCTAAGACCATCGGAAAACACATATATAATTACATATTGTTTACAGTAGCAAAATTACAGTTATGAAGTAGCAACGAAAATAATTTTATGGTTGGGGGTCACCACAACATGAGGAACTGTATTAAAGGGTCGCGGCATTAGGAAGGTTGAGAACCACTGAAACCCTGGTGGTCAGTGTGCATCATGGTGACCAGTCGCTCCGCTGTTTGGTCGATTTGCATATTACCCTTTTATTATATAGGATATATATTTTTTTACTATTTCTATCTGTCTCCAGGTAGTTCTGTAAGGCTTTTTATAATCAAAGAGGGGCAGAGCCCCACTGGCATGGCTCAGTGGTTGAATGTCAACGTATGAACCAGCAGGTCATGGTTCAATTCCCTGTCAGGGCACATGTCCCGGTTGCAGGCTTGATCCCCAGTGTGGGATGTGAAGGAGGCAGCTGATCAATGATTCTCTCTCATCACTGATGTTTCTATCTCTCTATCCCTTTCTCTTCCTCTCTGAAATCAATAAAAATATGTATTTTTAAAAAAGAGATTAATACTGAGCTAAGAAATTTAATATTTCTTTTATTCACAAATTCTGGCTATATCAAAGTTACTCTGTCTCTCCAAATGTCTAGGCTGTTGCCCGGCCTGTGTGGCCCAGTGGTTGATCACCAATGAACCAGGTCACGATTCAATTTGTAGTCACGTCATATGCCTGGGTTGCAGGCTTGATCCCCAGTAGGAGGCATGCAGGAGGCAGCCAATCAATGATTCTCTCTCATCATTGATGTTTCTATCTCTCCCTTCCTTTCTGAAATCAATAAAAATATATTGAAAAAATGAAAGTCTAGGCCATTTAGAGAAGATGTTTAATCAAATGTTCGTCTGGAAAAAAATGCCTAATTTCTTCTATTAATTTTAAGAACTGTGCCCACTCCCATTCTTAGTTTAGTGATCCCAAAAACATCTAATGACTTAGTACCAAATTAAATTCTATTTTGTTAAAATAAAAACACAAATTCTAATAAATGATTTGAAAGTACTCATAGCATTTTTGAAATTTTATTTTAAAAATTGATCCAACCCTGGCCAGTGTGGTTCAATTGGTTGGAGCGTCGTCGTGTGTGCCAAAAGGTGGCAGGTTTGAGGCCCAGTCAGGGCACATGCCCAGGTTGTGGGTTCGATCCCTGGTTGGGGCAAGTGTGGGAGGTAACCAACTGATGTTTGTCTCTCACATTGATGTTTCTCTCTCTTTCTCTCTTCCTCCTCCTCCTTTTACCAACCTCCTTTCTGCTCTCTAAAAACCAATGGGAAAATACCTTCAGGTGAGGATTAGCGATAGATAGATAGATAGATAAATTTACTGAAGAAGCCAAAGGGGTTTTGGACAAGATGTACTCTTGGCATTTGAGTAGTGATTCTCAACCAGGATTAAAAATACCTGTGCATGGACCCATCCCAGGGATTCTGAGTCTGTAGGTCTGGGCTAGGGCCTGGACTGGTTCATTTTTAAATTTATTTTCTTTTCAAACCTTTACCTGAGGATATGTTTTTATGATTTTTAGAGAGAGAGAGTGAGAGACATCAATGTGAGAGAAAAACATCGATCAGTTGCCTCCCGCACATGCCTAGACTTGGGCTTGAACCGTAACCTAGGTATGTGTTCTGACCAAGAATCAAACCTGCAACTTTTTGGTGCATAGGACAATGCTCCAACCAACCAAGCCACCCAGCCAGGGCAGGACAGGTTTATTTTTAAAAAGCTCCAAAGATGATTGCAATAAGTGCTCTGTATCAGCAGCTAAGAAAAACTCCTATAGAATCTTACTACTTCAAATATGGCCCTCCGATGAGTACTGGCAACACCTGAAGTGTGTTAGAAATGCAGAATAGAGGGGCATGCCAATACCTAGAGAATTAGAATTTGCATTTTAATTTTAACATGTGTGACTTGTAAGTATATAAGTTTCTCAAACATAAGTTTGAGAAACACTGTCGTGGAACATATCCTTATGCTGTTTTTAAATCATTAAAATACTTTTTTCCAAGTAAAATTTTATAAATCTCTACCTAGGTCTTTTATTCTCTCTAACCTACTCCACAAGCTTGAAAACCAATGTTTTGGAGTACAAGTTGAGAAGACAGATCAGTTCTGGATCACATCCCTAAGTCCTACTTTTGTTGTTAATCCTCATCCGAGGGTATTTTTCCATTGTTTTTTTTAGAGAGTGGAATGGAAGGGGAGAGACAGAGAGAGAAACATCGATGTGAGAGAGACACATCAATTGGTAGCCTCATAATTCAAAGTGTCAGCAAGTGGCTCTAACTCCTTAAAATATACCCAATGGTGTAACATCAAGTGACTAGGTTCATCTTAAAGTAGTAGTGATGATGATGGCTCGCACTTATACAGTATTTACCAAGTGACAATCAGTATTCTATGTACTTTACCTGGTTTTGCTTATCTAATCCTCACCATAGCCTTCAAAGGGAGATGTTAGTATTGTTACTCCCATTTTACAGATATTAAGAAAGGTCTTTAAAGTGGCATAGGCAGTAATGAAGCTGGGGCTGGAACTCAGGCAGACTTGTTGCAAGCATGTCAAACTTGCAGCGGTTTGATATGCTTGTTCTAGCCTTTGGTTTAACCCCTCTACTGCTTAAATAGAACAGAAGCACACCACCACTAGGGGGAAAAGGAGGTATGGGGGGGGGGGGAGAAGAAGCCCCATAAGGTTTTTAGTATATTTTGTCCATAACCCCCATCCATCATCATCATCATAAAGAAAGGATAATTGGGCACTTGAAAAAATAAAGGAAAATGCTTACATATCTATAACATAAACTTCCATTCTCACACTTCTTTTCCATTTCAAAATTGCCTCTGATGTTCATTTTAATGCAATTTCACTTTCATAAAACGTTTTGGGAGGAAAGACTCAGTATGATCCACAAACCTGCAGATGTGGTATAACTATTTTCCTAAACGTGTCCCTTTACATCTTTGGAGTCTATCACCAGCAAAAAGTAAGGCTCCTCTCAATGTCTATTACAACCTCTCTGTTGTCCAGGTAAGTTGCACCAAGTGAATGAAATATGGCAGCCATCCCTCCTATATCTAATACAGAACCCTGAGGAGCAAGACCCAATCACAAGGCATTCATGGGCCCAACATAACCTGCCTTCACACTACTTGTGTTATATCCTTTTCTCCTATACCCCATGCACCAGTCACAGTGCACTACTCCCCCAAATGTCTTCTACCTTTCCATCTCTGTGCCTTTTTACACCTGGCTTCCTTAGTCTGGAATGTACATCTCCCCGATGGCTGAAATTCTATTTAAGTTCAGTTCAGATGTCACTGTCTATGTAAAGCCTCCCTCAAGTGACGCAGTTAGAAATAAATGTATCCCTCCTGTTATGTTCAGCATGTTTATGCTTCAGTATTTTTGGCACCAGTTCATGGTACACTTGAGTTATTTGTCTGTGATATATATATAGGTACATACACACACACCCTGCCTCCCACCCCCGCAAGATACATTCCTAGCAGTCAAAGACCACAGTGAACTGATATTTCCATCTGCCCTAGCACAATGCCTTCCTCACAGTGGGCATGAAAAAGTGAACTAAACAGGATATAGGATGATTGTAAGTTGACACATGTCCTTCTACCATGCTTAAGACCTAATGAAAATGCTAGTCAACAGTGATCTCAATTTGCTTTATATTCCACGGGACAGTTTTAGAATACCCAGCTTTCCGGTATGTTCAGAATCACAGTTTCCAAAGATAACTTGAAGTTCTAAGAGAAGCCAGCTCATAAATGACAGAATGTCTGTTCAGGATGAATCCTTCCCTAGTGAGGTACTTGCTGACTGGGCAAATTATACAACCCAGTGTCTCAAATGTCATTATTAGTTACAGATTATCTGGACTTAATTCTGCGTTGTACTATTTTCATATATTGGTGCAATTCAAGATCTGTCTGGGTTTAGTACTTAGCAATCACACCACATACATGCACCAGCTGGCTGAACCTTTCCAAGTACCTTTGTTGTATTTCACAGAAAATACTAAGGCTTATTTCCTTAAACTACAGACTCAGTTACTTGATGCATCAGGAATGAATCTCAAAAGAGATGACCCAGAGATAATGTAAGTCATCTGTAGAGAATTAAAAGCTCTCTGCAACATCCCAAACTAGGGTAAAAATGAAGGTAGTATGAAAAGTTTTGTCCGACATAAAGTTGGACACCACCATCCCAATTGCACAGGGCCTATGTCTGCTTCCACAATACCCCCACCAGCCAAGGCCCCACAGGTGACTCAGTAAATCTATCATATGCTCCCCTATTTATGTCCTTGACTTCTGCCCATGGCACACTAAAAATTCTTGGCCCTGGAAATTAAGCAGTCTCCTTTTATATCCCCTATCCAGAAATACTATTTGGATACCATGGGGAAGGATAAAACATTTCAGAATACAGAATTCTATTTGGAAGA